TTATGAATATCTTATAAGTTTCTTATAAGAATCTTATCAGAACCAGTGAATTTCTTGTCACTTCCGTGCAACATCTTATATACGAATCTTGTAAGAATCTTATCAGAAATTTATAAAAAGCTGATAAGTATTTTGTATGTTTCTTGTGAGTGCCTTGTAAGATCCTTATATAAGAATCGATGTCTAGGGTAGAGACTATACTTGAAGTTAAAAATAAACACAAAGTATAAACAACAGACGTTTATTAGGATACACATATATCATAAAAAAACGGAAGTACGAGAGAGAACATTAAAATAAACATTTTTTTTAACAAACAGTAGAGAGATTTTCTTTTAGGTTCTTACTTACAAAAATGCCAGAATAATGGATGATTCCAAAATGTATGAGGATAAAAACCAAAAAAGGTGACAAATCACACAAAAAAATGTATGATTTGATATTAGTCTGACGATGGAGTACGAGTTAAAGGTAATGGTTCTCTATCAAATGTTTTTGGTAGACTAAGTCCAACAATATTTGCTGCTTGTTCAACTGTTTTTTCACCTTTTGAATATGTATTTTGTATTTCTGTTCGTTTTCTTACACTAACTAAATAGTTTAAATATGTATCTGCTAAAAATAATTGTTCATTTGTTTCTTTACAATATTTTGCTGCCAATGGTTTATGTCGACGAAATTCATCCACTAGTTTGGGATAAATTGGTGATGATTTATAAGAATTATTATTAGATAAACGAGATAATTCCCGTAATAGTCTTTTATAAATAACAAGACTATTTAATGATGATAAACGACTCATCTGTAACAAACAATTAAAAGAGAAATAAACGATAAATAGAAAAAGAAAATTATCTTATCTCAAGAGAAGAAAGTCTAGTTTTATAACTGAATGAAAAAAAAACAAATATGACTTTATTTATACTCTTAAAATGTAAAAAAAAGAAGAGATATACTACAGTTTTCTCACTATCAACACAATAAAAAACAATATATGATTAAACAGTTAAAAAACATGAAAATATTGTCTAATATCGAAAAGAAACTATCTAAGATTGTGGTATCTGATTTGTCAATTCACATATGGTACGACCGAATTGATTTTGACAAGATTTTATTGATTCAATTTGTTTTCGCATAACACTAATTTTATTCGTATTTATTATTCGCTGTTGATTAAAATAATTTCGTTTTGTTGATAAATCAATTTGCTTAATAAAAAAAAATCAGAAAAATAAGTTCTTATGATCATTGAACAATGACGTTTAGTTTACCTGTTTTGTTAGAACATTTTTTAATTCATCAAATTTCTGTCGTTTCATCTCAATAGTTTTTGCTACATTCTCTTCATCTAGATAATAATCGTCATTAATTAATTTTTCTTTTGTTATACACTTTAATTTCAATTGCATTAGTATACTATTTAATAATTGATGTTTCTTTCTCGAACATGCATAATCAATTAATAACTTTTCTATTATATCATTCATTGCTCGACAATTTTTAGAATTCAAATTCGTAGAAAAGAATCGACGTTGAATATCTTTAAACTCAAGATCAGTAGCAACTTTTCGCTGTTAAAAAACAAAACAAAAAATAATTAGTAAAAAGATTATTACTAAAATACTCACAGTTTCTAAATCAGTGATTTCTTTTTTTAAACGATTTAATTTCTCATCGTACATTTGCTGACCGGTTGCTTGCTTTTCTTCATCAGTTTTTAATTTTCTGTAAAACAATGAAAGAGAATCATATTCAATTTATAAGGAAATACTTTTTGGAATAGTGGTTTACTAACGAATACTATTATCGGTAAAAAAACGGTGGATTTAATCGGTTTTTTCATAGCTGTGGATAGAGAGGACAGCTAGAGAGTTACGACCATTCGAAAGACTAGATCTGACTAGAAATGCAGTCGAGAATCCAGCGATTTCGAGTAGGTGAAAGAAGGTGGGGAATTCCCCCCACCTTGTTTGAAACAATTACTCCGTTTCATTTAAAAATTTACTCCGATTAAAAAAAAGTTACTGCGAAAAGCTAAAAGTCCCTTTTTTTGGTTATCAACTAAATTTTTAGAGTTACTCTATAAAACTTCCCTTATCTTGCCAAAGTTATATCGAAAACGCTGCGAGAATCCAGCTTAAGGTTTAGTGATTTCTCTACATTTTTTCTACTGCCATTCGGAAGAGCAACTCAAATGACGGAAATCCTGAAAATTTAAGCACATTCAAACCGCTTTTAACTGAAAAATTAATTTAGTGATATTCACAGTACATAGCCCAAAACTAGACATTTTTGACAAAATAGGTTTATACTAGATTTTTCAGTCTTTTTTCGAAAAAACAAGCATTGGTGCGAGACGCACCATGGCCGATAACATATGTTTCCATCTATTTTTGGGGCGACCAAAAGTCATCGGAAACCGATCCTGAGCCTCTGTTATGAAAATATGCTCTCTAGAACGGCCGTAACTCTCTAGCTGTCCTGTACCCAGAGATATGCAAAAAAGAATCGAGTCCGCTGTTCTTTTACTAACAATAATCTGTAGGGAGAAAAGCAGATTAAAGTTCCATTTATGGATTTTAAACATTCATTTAAATCTAAGTCCTTGACACTTCCGGAATTTACAGAAACGTTCATGGATCCACGTAGAACTACGGAAACTTTTAGAAACTTACGTGGATCTAGATGGACTTGTGTGTCCTTTAAAAACTTTAATACACTTGTAAAATCCCATGAACTGTAGAAATCCACCGAAGTCCATGTAAAGTGACGTAGGTCCTTGAAAATCCATAAAAATCTAACAGTCCAAAATTGACCCTTTCCCTGTTTCAGTAAACTCTTTCTTTTTCGGTAATCATCTGAACAGTTTTTAAGAACACTTAGATACAGTAGTGGTCATAAGTATCTCACCATCCTGCATCGTCGTTTTGATCCAGTTTATTGTATATTTCTTTTCCAAGGACATTAACATGTACGCATGCAATGCTTTATGAAAATAGTCGTAATTATTGTTTAATTATATTTAGCTCTTCTGCTGACTACTAGTTGTGAAATGGGTTCAGATTGTTGACCAGATCCTATCTACAGTTTTTCAGAACAAGTTGTGGGCGATTGCATTAGAAATCCGAAACTTCAAAGTGATTACTACTTCAAGAATGGATAAAAATGAACACATAGAAGTGTGATGTAAAATTTCATTTACTTACATTTCTTCATCAATACATTCATTGTAAAAGGTTTCATTAAGACTATGAAAATTCGGTAATTGATTACTAAAAGCATATATTGAAGAACACATTTTTTCTCTGACGTTTAATAATTCGTTTAATTTTGTTTTCTTAAACATAAAAGATTGATGATTGGCAATAGATAATTAATTATGTGAAAAAAAACAAAATAAACAGCAACTTACACGCGATCGACATTCTTTATTGTGATCTTCACATGTTAACTTCTCATTTTCAACTTGTATTTCTCTTATCTGTTTTGCATAATATTCACTACGATTTTTTTCATACATACAATCGATAGTTTGTAATTGAAATTGAACACTTGAATGAATATTACTATTTTGTTCGATCAAACGATCTAGATTAAAAAACAGTTTTCTAGATTTTCATAGGTAGATCAACAAAAACGTACCTTTCTTTCCACCAAGTTCAGTCAATTGTAATTGAGATAGACAACTGTAACCAGTTTCAAAAGTATTTCTCCATTGTTTTTCAAGTGGATCATCGGACGAACATTCTTACAACAGAAAGTTAAATAATCATACATCTTTTTTTTGATTAATATAAAAATACCTTTCACAATTCTCAAATGTCCAGATGATGAATGAAATTTTTCTGATTCGGTATTTATACCGATAGAACGTGTTTTTTTTATTCTAAAAATAAATTCTATTTCACATACAAGACAATAGCTTATCAATTAATTAACTTACACAGTATGAGAATCCTCGTCGTCATTAATAGATTTTTTGTGTGTTTCACTACCAGATATTGGATATTGAAGCACACTTTCAGCGTATTGGTTACATAGTTGAAGAACATAATCGATCTGAAGCTAAAGAACAAAATAAATACTAAATTGTAATGAATAATAACAAAAATTCATCTTCTATTTACCTTACTTGTTTCTACTACACAATCAGTGGATGATGTATCTAATTGTATTTGATTCATGCACATATCTGTCGTAGTTTGGATGTTGTGTGTTGAAGTATTTGACGGTTGTAAATGTCTGTTTTGTCTGAACACAAGATCATCACGAACAACGTACTATAAATACATAATGCTAAATGATCGGTAACTGCAGTTGACAGTCTAATTTCATCCCGACAGTTGTATTCAGAGAAAATTTAGCATGAACTCTCAACTAATCTACACAATCGCTATTTTGAATATCCGTAATACTTACTTTTTCACCATCTAAGATAAGTTTTTGCCATGAATTTCTATTGCGTTGAATATCACTGAATTCTGCTTCAGGTGTACTGCATGCCGCAAAATTCTCATGTAATTTAAAATGATAACAAAGGGGC